AGGTCCTTTGACCCATCTGTAAAAATCTGAATACTGTCCTTATACTTGTTGTTCTTATATTTATAGTATTCATTGGTTATATCTATATTTCTGTTACATCCTTTAATTAATAAAAGCTCTAAATCAACTTTCGGAATTTCCAAAGTCCAAATTGGTTTAACAGGCCATAACACAGTATTAGCAAATCTTTTATTATGCACTTCCATTTCTTTTGCAATTAAATCACCTGTCCAACCAAAACTTTCTTTCTTTCTTCTCTCCTTTTCCCAGCACTTCTGTAACACCTTTTTTGTTGGATGACTATCCTCGTGCCCTCTAAGATTTATCCAATAGTTTGCTGCCAATTGTTTCCGTCTAAGCCACAATGGCATTTCACCTCCCTCAACCTGAAGTGCACATACTTCAAGTTTTGATTGCCCCCAAGCATATTCTTAAAGCACACGATTGCACAATGTCCAATTCAGCTAATGTTGACTTTGCTGCTGACCCATATGCAACACTCCCATAGTCTAACTTAGATCGTATTAAAGCAATATAGATATATTTTAAAGCTGAAACACTTGCTCCCCATTCCAACCCTGCAAGACACCTCATCACATTTAACACTTTTTTACATTTATTAACTATATACTTTATATGTTCTGTCCATGTTAGTTTTGTGTCAAAATATAATCCCAAGAAACGAAAACATTCTACTTTCTCTGATATACTTCCATACATTTCGAACTTAATTTCCTTATCCTTCTTTTTATTTGAAAAAAAACATTACTTTCGATTTTTATCCACTGAAAATTTAAATCCCCATTTTATTCCCCAAATTTTAACTTGATCAATGCCTTCCTGCATCTTCTTTAAAATATACTCAACATTTCTACCTTTCTTCCATATAGCACCATCATCTGCAAATAAAGACCTCCCTATTTCCCCTGGAAGATTTAAATAAATATCATTAATCATAATGGAAAATAAAGTTGGACTAATCACACTCCCCTGTGGTGTCCCATTTTCTACAACATATTGCTTTGATAAATCTACCCCAATTTTAACCTGTATATTCCTTTGATTTAGGAAATCCATAATCCAATTAAACATTTTCCCTACAACTCCCATTAAATGTAATTTGACTAAGAGACCCTCTTTCCACAACATGTCGTATGCTTTCTCCACATCGAAAAAAACTGCTACTACAGTTTCTTTATTTACTTGTGCTTTCCTTATTTCCTCCTCCAAACTTATCACAGGATCCATTGTATTTCTTCCTTTTCTAAAACCACTTTGACATAAAGCCATTTTTTTTCTACTCTCTAAAAAGTATATTAGTCTTTCATTTATCATGCGTTCCATTATCTTGCATATATGCGATGTTAATGCAATTGGTCTGTAATTGCCAGGATTACTTGAATCTTTTCCAGGCTTCCTTATGTCATGTTTCTTAAAGGGGCCGCATATTCTTAAAGTCCCCCTGTAGTCAAACATTTTATCCCTTTAAACTCATCTTTGATCACCAAAATGACATATTAAAGCGTTTTTTTTTTCTTAAAAAAAATTCTGCACGCCTTAAAATAGATTGAATGTAACTCCACACCCGTCTCATTTAGTACATGGTTCTATGAATATGAAAATTAGCCCCACCTCCACTCACTCACACCAGCTCAGAGGGACTGTGAGATTCACCGATTCGGTGCATTGACATAAAAGTTAATGATGTGATGCATAGATTTAAAAACCAATATGACCAATGTTTTACAGGTGAAACCCGAAAAATTTGAATATCGTGCAAATGTTATAATTTTGATGATTATGGCTTACAACTTATGAAAACCCCAAATTCAAAATCTCAGAAAATTAGAATATAGGATTTTAAATACAGAAATGTCGGCCCTCTGAAAAGTATAATCATGCATATGTATATAGTTATATATACTATATTAGTTTCACCTTTTAATTTAATTACTGAAATACATGAACTTTTGCATGCACGATATTCTAATTTTTCGAGTTTCACCTGTATATGCAGATTGATTTCTCAGTGCGTTCTCTCAACACCAATCAAACAGGTAAAAGTGAAGCCCCTACCGGACAGAGTCAGTCTAGACCAATTGAGAGTCCGGCTGTGTTCAAAACACACATGATTTCTCTAATGATCTGTATTTTCTGGTGCTGTTTAGAGTCCAGCAGTGAAAAACTCTTTCCAGAAACACATATTAGACTTCTCATCTGCTTAAACCTTAATAAATAATAAAAATTACTGGTATAAAACACACACATTTGGATGGATATTTTTATGTGAGGATCGATCCTTTACCACGTCAGTATCGATACTTCAGAATCGATCCGCCCACCCCTAACAAATACTAGCCTGACGTCGTCATACTCAGATTCTAGTCAGAATGTGAGTCTGATACTGCTCCATTAGGCTCTTATTTAGAGGTCTTCACGGAGTACCCGAGACCCGACGACCCGGGACCCGTACGGGTTCGGGTCTATATTCTAAATGATCAGCCGGGTCCGGGTCAGGTCCGAATCTATTACTTCGGGTCTCGGGTCTGTTTAACATTGTGTGTAATACCCGAGTCAATCGGACTCGGAGAACAACCGGCCATGCATCAGAGTCAGTCAGCTTGTGTTTTTTTTGTAACTTGCAACTATGGGATTAGAAAAGTGCCAGAAAATAAGGTTTAAAAAAACACAAATTGCGCTAAAAAGCTCCCGAGGTTGCTCCAGGGCGATTATGGGGCGTTTCAACCGAACCAGGAAAGAAAATGCATCTGCACTCAATTGGATAGACCTACAACCAATCAGAGCAACGGAGTAAATGACGTATTTTAAGATTTCCGGAGTTCCGAAAATGAGCTGGCAACGACCGCTGGTTATGTCCACCTGTTGTGGGCGGGACTAAGTTCGGCTGGCATCCAGGCTACCAAATTCACTAAGTTAAACCAAGATGATATTTTGCTTTTAGGAGCAACTCCATATTTTGTTCAATTCACATCATTTACTTGACAGTACTATACATGAAAACGAAATTTTGCTCATTGTGACGACTTATGCAGGGTTTGAAATGAACTTTTTCACTCACCGGCCAATTGGGCTACTAATTTTAAGTTAAAAGTACAAAGTTACCGGCCATTCATAACTTCTACTAGCCAAAAAGAAAAAGAAAAGAGCCAGCCTAATTACGTCACTAATAATCTATTACTAATAATCATGTCATCAAGCCATCTTCTCCCTTTCTCTGTCATCCTTTTGATAGATTGAAATCTTTATTTCGAACTATTAAAAATACATATACAAACGAGTAAGAAAAAAAAAAGTTATACAACAAAATAAACAAAACAATATTTCAACATAATACTCAACCCATCCTCATCACCAAAAATGTTTTAGGTGGACAGATCAATACAGTACAAAGAACATAAAAAAAATAATCTTCGCTATTGCTTCAATGCAAATTAACAAGCGTGCCGTTATTTGTTGCGTAGTGACGTGTGTTTAAGTAAGCCAAATATGAGCAGATTCTGCGCAATACGCTGTATTAGGAACCTGGGTGTGCTATTTGATACCAACCTTTCTTTTAAAAGCCACGTGTCTAGTATCTGTAAAACTGCATTTTTCCATCTTAAAAATATATCTAAATTACGCCATATGCTCTCATTGGGAAATGCGGAACAATTAGTCCATGCGTTCATGACCTCAAGGCTAGATTATTGTAATGCTCTACTGGGTGGTTGCCCTGCACGCTTAATAAACAAACTACAGCTAGTTCAAAACGCCGCAGCTCGAGTTCTTACCAGAACCAGGAAGTATGACCATATTAGCCCGGTTCTGTCAACACTGCATTGGCTCCCTATTAAACATCGTATAAATTTTAAAATATTGTTGATTACCTACAAAGCACTTAATGGTTTAGCTCCGCAGTACTTGAGCGAGCTCTTAACGCATTATAGTCCTTCACGTCTATTGCGATCTCAAAATTCCGGCCAGTTGATAATACCTAGAATATCAAAATCGACTGCTGGCGGTAGATCCTTGTCCTATTTAGCTCCAAAACTTTGGAACAGTCTTCCTACCATTGTCCGGGAAGCAGACACACTCTGTCAGTTCAAAGCTAGACTAAAAACACATCTCTTTGACCTAGCATACACATAATACATTATAGACTGTGTTAGATTATAATTCAATGTTAGGCTGCATAGATTAGGTCAGCCGGAACTGGGAACACTTCCCTTAAATCTTGATGTACTCGTTACATCATAAGAAGAATGGCATCTACGCTAATATTAGTGTCTTTGTTTATCCCAAGGTTTTCCCGCAGCCTGCCGGATCCAGGCCGTGTCCAGTTCTGACGAAGGAGATTTGCCTGGACCCGATGACAATGCAGTGCTGAAGTGTCAACTATCCTCTCCCTATGGAGGATCCCTTTCCCACTCTACAGATAAAGCGTTGTGAATTCCGGCTCGCGTACCCCGAAGTGATAAAATAAAACAAAATTCTGTATCAAAATTTATAGGCAAGAAAAGTAGTTTGTTTAGGCTGGGTTGTATGAATTACAAACCTGCGCACATATTTTAAAAAGCACATAACTATAGAATTCTGAATGAGCATGTGAACGCCGTCAGCGTTAATCACAGGTTCACGTTTAAAGTCTGATCATTTCGACGGAGGTGAATCAATCAAAGTTAACTTTAGCTGGAAGTAACATTATTCAAGAACCGCTATAACGCCAAAACAATCTGTTACCTTAAATTATATGTTTATCTCTGTAAAGCTGCTTTGAAACAATTCATTGTTAAAAGCGCTATATAAATGAAGATGACTTGACTTGACTATTTAATACATCATGATGACACACGAGTTGAGTATTTGCGCTAAATCTGTGCAGATTTGGCTTACACGAACTTCACCACAAAAGTGAGTAAACATAATAACCCACCCAATTGGCTAGTGATTTAACAGCGTTAACCGCCACAGGTTATTTTTACCCGCATTTGGCGTTAATTTCAAACCCTTGACTTATGATATTTCTTCATGTGACTGAGAAAACTACATGAATGTCTAAAACTCTTCTCACACTGAGTGCACTGGTACGGCTTCTCTCCAGTATGAAGTCGCTCGTGTGTTTTCAGTGTTCCCAACTGAGTGAAACTCTTGTCACAATATGAGCACTTGTAAGGTTTTTCTCCAGTATGAATTCTTTGGTGCCGTTTCAGTTGGCCAGGTGTAAGAAAGCTCTTGCCACAGTCACAACACACATGATCTCTCACTTCATTATGTGTTTTTTGGTGCACTTTAAAACTCTTCAGTCGTGAAAAACTCTTTCCACAGAGAGAACACACATAAGGCTTCTCATCTGAATGAACTTTCAGGTGTTTTTTTAGTTGTGATGATGCATGAAAATCTTTACCACACTGATCACAGTTAAATGGTTTTTCTCCGGAATGAATACGCAGATGATGACTGAAAGATGATGCTTGAGAAAAACTCTTCTCACACTGAGTACAGTAGTACGGCTTCTCTCCAGTATGAAGTCGCTCGTGTTCTTTCAGGTTTCCAGAATGAGTGAAACTCTTGTCACAGTATGAGCACTTGTAAGGTTTTTCTCCAGTATGAATTCTTTGGTGCAGTTTCAGATTGTCACCTGTAGTAAATTTCTTCCCACAGTCACAACACACATGATCTCTCACTTCATTGTGTGTTTTCTGGTGCCGTTTAAAACTGTTCAGTCTTGAAAATCTCTTTGCACAGAAACACACATAAGGCTTCTCATCTGAATGAACTTTCAGGTGTTGTTTTAGATTTGATGCTTGAGAAAATCTCTTTCCACACTGAGTGCATGTATACGGTTTCTCTCCAGTGTGAATTCTCATGTGTATCTTAAGGTTTACTTTCAGTGTGAAACTCTTTCCACACTGAGTGCAGGTGTGCAGCTTTTTGGCTTTTGTTTCTTGAATTATTAAGTCATGATGTTCCTCCTTAAATTCCTCCAGTTCTTGTCTTTGGTCTTTCACTTCCATCCGATCTAAAATAAACATAAAATTAGAATCCGTTCAAGTGAACCCTGATTTAACCCTTTAAACCTGAAGTATACCACCGGCGGTGCGAATGTCCAAATGTAATATAATGTATATTTTCAAAAAAATTATAAAGTGTTCTATCAAATAATACCTACCTTTTGACTCTTTTGGAGTTATGAGTCTTTAGTTTTGTAAGAAAGCAACAGAGATCAAGTGTCAGACCTTTGATGTGCCAAAGATTAGTTCTGTCATTCTTTTGTTAAAGGGGCCATATAATGGTACATGCACTTTTTCAAGTTGATTGTACTGAAATGTGTGTTGGCAGTTGGCAGTGACACTCTCCTTATATGTTTTCCCCTGCCTCAAATCGAGCAGTCTGACCTGGTCGGACGCCCCTCCCACGATTGTTGATTGACAGCAGCGTTTCAACACATCCCATAGTCATCATAGTCCGCTATTGTTGATACGCTGGAGCAGAATGGCGTCTAAGCGATTGTGGTGTTCTGTTCTTGGGTGTAATAACGAACACAGCAGTCATTTTGATGTTCCTAAATCCGAACCGCTGAAGATGCAGTGGCTGAGTTTTGTAATCGGATTTAGGAAGATCAAAATGACTCCTCCCTATGATGACAGCTCGCTCAGGGCGAGGATGTGTTGAAACTGCTGTCAATCAACAATCGTGGGAGGGGCGTCCGACCAGGTCAGACTGATTGCGCGATTCGCGAATCATTTCTCACCAGACTTCTTTATAAACGAGGGTCAGTATAAAGCTGGTTTTGCTAAAAAGCTGCTTCTGAAAAAAGAATCGGTACCAACTATTCGTGTTCCTGCTGCACCTCCAGAAGAAGTGAGTGTAAAATTGTATTAACCTTTATATTAATCATCGCTTGCACGCTTCACGATGAATGCGGCTAAGGTTTACACGAAGGGTACATTACGGCATGTTTTCTATGTACGACGTTCTCAATATAATTCATAATCCCACGTTTATAATGAACAACGCGTTATGGTTATTGTGTTATTACAAACTGAGTACGTATACATCAGTGAACATGTTATCAGTTACTCTACCCATAAATCAGTCACTCTACCCTGCCAGTACACAAAGATAGATCAAAGTGACATTACGTTAACCAACCATTCAGAAACGTCCCGTTCGAGCCTTAATTGTCGAACTTCTTCGGGCCGTCATCTTGTTCCGGGTCTGACTCCGGTTCAAACTGATACGGTTGCACAGATGTGTCCTCAGAGACTCCCGCTGCCATTCTTCCTCCAAAATATACCCTCAACTGTTGTCAAGGAAACACTCCACGTGTGTTGTGTCAAAACGCCCGCAGAACAGAGGGGTGGAGTGACAGAAGCTCATTATCATTTAAAGGCATATGCACTGAAACGACGTGCTGAAAACAGAGCTGTTTTTGACCAGGTAAAATGAGTGTTTTCTTACAATACTAATGAGAATTTTTAATTAAAGTATATTACAAACTTTTTATTTAGACCCTAACGAATCATATTAACTTGTATGAAAATGGCATTATATAACCCCTTTAATATGATCAAATTGAGTGTGACAACTGTTATAGCCTACAAGATTATGATTAGTTTCATTATGTATTATGAAGTACATAAAAGATGACGATTAAAATTATATAAGCATTTCTATAGAATGTTTCATTCATATACTGATTATTATTTCACACCTACCAAAGCAATGAAGAATCAAGAATGGACACCAACCTATTTGTTCCTCAGTATCTTCATGTTTTATTCTGGATGGTTCTGGATCACTCATGTCTTCAATCTCCTCTTTAATAAACTCCATCTTTAACAGTCACACCGATTTCAGCTGCTACTCCTGGAGTTTGTCCTTCTCTTGTAGGATGATGTGAATATTCCCAGTATTTATTGGTGAATTGTTGTGGGAGGGTCATCAGATCTGCCAAATTCAAAGAAGTTACTGAATTACTTGCATTAAAATTAATTGAACATGTCTGTTTTGTGATAGAAATATAGGGGATTTGGATGCAGTTGCATTTAAAAAAAGGTTTGTTTAATGCTTGTCCAACGTCTGAGAGAAATAACAGGACCATTAGGGCTGTCACTTTTGAGAAAAATCAAATTCGAACGGATATTAAATATCAAGCAATGTATTCGAATATATTAGAATATCTGCGAGCCCCGCTCCCCACCCTGGCCACCTGAACTATCTGGTCCACCCTGGCCACCTGAACTGTCTGGTCCACCCTGGCTTCCTGCACTGCCAGCGCCGCCATGCCACGGCCCAGGTATGCCCACGCCAGGCCACGACCCAGGTCCACCCATGCCACGGCCCAGGTACGCAGCCTGCTTGCTTTTATGTTAAATGAAGGTTTGTGAATGTTAATTTGTTAATGCTTTAATAACAAATAATTTATCGGGAACATTTATGCTGACGTGTAGCTGGTGGCGACAGACTCGTAGGCTTACTTGAAAGTATTTCATGGAGGTAGGCTACAGAAAAAATCTATACTGTTTTGTGGATGGGAGCGAGACAAAACATGAATGTTGCGGGTGGGAGCGGGAGAAGGTAACATATTTTTGCGGGCGGGAGCGGGACAATCCGAAAAATCCGTCTCGCGCAGGTCTCTAGTTGGAGCATTTTTAATTACTCGCAATCGCGTCTCGCCTCCCTCTGCCATTGTATGCTACCACGACAAAGCACGTACGCGACAAATGACGTCAGAAAAGAGTCAGTACATTATAATCGGTTATGCTCTATTACTAAACCAATACCGAATCATCCTCGTCTGCATCGTGATGCATTATTGAAGCGATTAATTTCAACACCCCTAAAAAGTATATCAAGTCCAACCTTTAGTTTAAACTGATAATAGTTTAATGTTTAACTCGCTGTGGTAAGCAGGACGAGGCAGGGGGCCGTGAGAACGGTGGCGTGATTACTAACTAGCGTCACCTGCAGGCCGTATCGGCCTCGTATCTCACGGAAGAGCTTCGGAAGCATAAAAGGAGGAGCAACGACAGTGAAGGATGAGAGAGGAACAGGCCTGGACTTTTATGTTATGTTTTGTTAATGTGTGTGCGGCAGTAGTCTGTGAGGGGCTGCCACCTTTTCTTTCGTTTAGTGTTTGTTTTATTATTAAAGTGTTTGAATGTTCGCCAGTTCCTGCCTCCTTCTTCCTCCCGGGTTTCGGCACCAACAAGGTATGTTGTTATGGAAAAAGGAGACGGGAACCGGCATAACATAAAAGTCCAGGCCTGGTCCTCTCTCGTCCTTCACTGTCGTCGCTCCTTTTATGCTTCCGCTCCTCTGTGAGATACGAGCCCGGTCACGCAGCAGCTCTTTTGCCACTCAGTCCGGCTGAAGGGGGTGTGTTTCGGCGGGAAAGTGACGTCAATGCTTACCCTCTATTCGACCTCTGCTTATTTTTTATTTTATGCTGATGTCTAGATATGTGCCGGTATTCGTAGGGGTGGGCGATATGGAAAAAATATAATATCACGATTTTTTCAGGAAAAATCGCGATTAACGATTTTATCACGATTCTTTTTCATGTTGCTTTTTAAGACTATTTGACAAATTACTGAGCCGCAATACAAACAAACTTATATCCCCATTTAAAAAATATAGCCATACAAGGTAACAAAACATAAAAGGGGAAAAAAAAGACAAAGTAGCATATTTTAATCAAGTGTATGTTTAATGGAAGTGCAATTATGCAAAGTAAGAACAGTCAACAGGACTTGCATTACAATCAGACTTCTCATCACAAAATGAACAGTGTTTAAAAAATAAATAAATCAAACATTGGCAACAGCTGTAACAGTCAGTAGACTGACCCTGACCCCTTATCTTTCTTTTTTTTTTTTGAGGTAGCATCTAGCATGAAAAATATAGATAAACAGATGCATCAAAAACAATTAAGTAAGCTTAAAAAGTTAAATAAAAAATATTATCTAGTTATAAATTAAGTACAGTCAGAGACTATAGGATAAATCCCCAAATAAACATTTGCTTCAAAAGGTAAAACACAAAATAGTGCAATGTGATTCAGGAACCAAACAATCAACCAAAGGTGCAAACATATTTCTGAATCCTGACTCTTTTAAACTTAGCAGCTTTAGAACACACCTTTCAAATTCCTACAAAGTATATATCCTAAGAACGTAAAGTATGACTGATCCCAATCACAAATTTTTAGAGAGGAAAACCAGTTGATTGACTTTATCTGGCTTGAGAGTTGCCCTCTGGCATGTGACAATATTGCCACCAGTGCTAAAAGCTCTTTCCGATGGAGCACTTGTGGCCGGAATGCACAAGTACTTTTTAGCAAGTTGGCTAACTCTTGGAAAGTTTGCCTCATGGACTTTCCACCATTCCAAGGGATTCACCTCACTTTCTGCATTCGGTATGGACACGTATCCCTTCAGTTCCCCTTCTATTGCCTCTTTTAGAGAAAAGGAAGTTGATCCTGAAACTGCAGCAGATGCACTTGCACCACCTGAGGTTCTCAAAAAGCTGGCAAGTGATTTCTTTACTTTCTTGTGTGGGGTTTGTTCTGCGTCGGGGCTCTGTGATGTGAAGGCAGATGTACACTGTTGAACCGATGCTGCTGGATACTGTACGGTCAGCAAAGACTCCAGCTCAGATACAGCTCTGGCTTGTATTCCCTCTATCTTGTCGCTGGCAATGTATTGGGTCCCTGGGATCAAGAAGCGAAGCCATATCCAACAGGTCATCAGTGGTGGGATCCTGATATTTGTCAGTGAGGTAATTGAGAATTGTTTGCTTCATTGTTTTTGTTAGTTCAGTCAGTGTCATCATCATTCAGGCTCAAGATGTTGACTTTCAACAGGTAAAACACTGGCTTTACGTAGGACACACTCACATAGTCCTCACCGGAGAGTGCATCAGTGAAGTCTCTCAGTGGACTCAAATGCCTCGCCTTCCGGTCTGCCTTCAGGACCTGCGAAATGGCCTTTTCCTGGTCAAGCACTCTCTC